TTAAATTAATAAAAAAGTATTTTATTATGTCTCAAAAGTTTTCGAGATAAGCTACGAGAATATACAATGAAAAATGCGAGTTTCATTTAAAAAATTCAAAATGATCTTGCGCTGACCTTGACAGTGTCATCCCAAGTCAAATCAATGGTACCATCTTATGTTCCTTTCAAAGTTATAAAACTTTTGTCTGAAACATTTTTCGGTATTTTTTATACTGTCCGAGATTTTTCGACGCGTAAATTAAAATGAGACATCCTGTATATTATTTTAAAAGAACCTCACACATTTTATTTATTATAGATTTATTATAGATTTGGGCCCTTCGGGTACAGAGATGAGTAGTACGTCAAATTATGAAGTGTGAAGGATAGATTAAAACTACATAGCTACCAATTGCTGCTATAACAGCTGCAGATCAGTTCCGACCTCATATCAATATGGTATGTGAGATATATTAATTTTGCTACTTATATTTGCAGGATGCTTTTAATCAACTGATGGCCTTTTATTATGTAATTAACTTCTAGATTTTTTTTTATCCATTTCTCTCTTCCTTACAAGATTTATTTTTATTTTATTAAAATAAATCTTTTTTTAAATTTTTTTATCTTAATAAGTATAATATTGAAACTATGGATCCAATATTTATTAAAGCTAAAATACAATCTAGACATGTAAATAAAACACGGTACCACGTTTACATTGTAAGAGAACGTAACGGCAAAGAAAAAGATGCTATAACAGAGAATATTACTGCACATGTAAGAATGGTGCACGTACTGTATTGTTGCTATGCTCACATTTTGTCAGTCATTTGGTATCTAGGATACGCCAAATATCTTGCTGAAGACATACAGATATCTTCTGAAGATAATGATATATTTATCAGCTTCGGCAGCTCTGATGGTGAGCAGCAACCGGACAAATACAAAATCTTTAATATATCAGAACTGCTTTCTGTAGGGATTTGAGAATCTAAAACTATTTAATTTTTAATACTCTATTATTAGTATCTACAAACTGGAATATAATTGATAAGTGTGCCAGTGGCCTATTTTGGGCGAGATTCTTTATGAATATTTCTTCAAGTTAAATTAATAAAAAAGTATTTTATTATAATGTCTCAAAAGTTTTCGAGATAAGCTACGAGAATATACAATGAAAAATGCGAGTTTCATTTAAAAAATTCAAAGTGATCTTGCGC